AAAATACCCAATGATTCCCTTCAAACACCCCAGCCTCCTGACAGACTTTCATTTCATCTCCATTCCACCTCAGCCATGCAAAGGGATGGTCATAGCCTTAACCTAACCATCCCTCTCTTCCACCTCCACGATCCCAAACTTTCAACATCTCTTCTCCGACCACAACCTCGTGTCCTTCACAATCCCCCTCTGCTTTACTCCTCACCTTCAACTGGTCCTTACCACGATCTAGAACTCTGCCAAACATCTGATCTGTTCCCTCAGTCCACCAGCCCTTGTTGAACTGTGATTGACCAACACTGATCATGCCTTGCCAACCCCCAATCCCAAGTAACAGCCTTTATTTACCGTTTTCATGCCTAATCTGCAGAGCAATCCTTTAGTTCTAGGTAAATGTTAGCTATACACGACATAGCAGTTACTCCAAAACTTCTCTCAATTCAACCTCCTCTATCACCGATTTGCTCTTTTTTGTTGAGGACTTTACTATCCTATCAGTCACTGAGGTTCACAATTTTGGCATCGTCCTTGACTTTCCTCTCCCTCACCAACCTATATCCCAGATATTGCCAAACCCTGTCGATCTGCCTTCTACAATATCTTTTTACTGTCTGTCTCTCTATCCATTTACTTGTATGGCTTCCACCCTTGTTCAGGTCCTCACTACTACTATCTGGAGTAGTGCTGTTTACTGACACCAGGGCTTCCTGCTTTCAATCAAGAACATTTTCAATTTTAAGGAATAAATCATGTATCTTTTGTCCCCGAATCCTTCCATTTGTTGGCATGTAAAGGCTTATCACAAGCAGACTCCATCTTTACAGACTGATTCCACATCACCCTTGTCTCTGTAGGCCAGCCAAACTGGCCTATGGTGTTTTTCCCACTCACTAAGTTCATGTCTCTACCCCCCATGTCTGCCCCCCATGTCTGAATTGCTCTCCCCTTGGTTCCCTTCAACAAGGCACAGATTAAGTGCCACCTCCCAGCACTTAGAATAGTGCACCTGGCACACAGCTGGCACTTAATAAGCCACCAGACACCGAGGTCCCTTCTCAAGCTCAACGGCCAAGCATTCAAACTCTACTGCAGAGAGTGCCACTCTGATGGGCTGGCCACATTGTTCAAACGCCAAAGGCATATTTGCCTAAAAGCCCATTTTACGGAGAACTTGAACAAGTCCACGCACTCGCATGGAGGTCAGAAAAAGTGATACAAAGACACTTTCGGGTCTCTCTGAAGAACTATGGAATCGAGGATGGCTGAGTGGCATGGGGAATAGTGCACCAGCCATGGAGTCAGGAGGACCTGAGTTCAAATATGGCCTCACACACTAGCTCTGTGACCCTGGGCATGTCACTTAACCCTGACCGCCTCAGAAGCAAAAACAACTCCGTAATCAATTGTGGGACATGGGAGACACTGCACAGGACTGCCCAGCATGGCCTGCCCAGGTTAAAGACGGCACTGTGCTCTATGAGCAAAGCAGAATGGCAGGACCTGAAAAGAAACTCAAAATTCACAAACTGAGAGATGTCTCCACTCCAAGTGTTCACGTGGACTATTTGTGCCCAACCCGAGTTCATACTGGTCTGATCAGCCACGGTCACACACACTGCACACTGACCCCAACACAGTGACGCCCTTTGGGTCCTCTTCGAGAACAAAGGACAACAGCCGCAAACTAACCTCGGAGGCCTTTGAGGATTCCTCTCGTGAGTCTTCCTGAAAGTCCTCTGTATTTGCCTCGAATATATTTTGTATTCATCATAAGAATCATGGCTGCGGGCACAGGGGCCAGAGTACTTCCAGTCTTGCCACAAGCACAACCTGTGGCCCACTTCAATCCTGGGGAATCTCTAGATAGCAGTTAGGTTCACCATTCTCATGCTAATACAGTTCCTTGACCCCCAACCCCAAGATGAGATTAATTATAATAAAAGTTATCATGCAAAAAGTACAAAAGTTTCTCTAAAATGGGGAAGTAAAAAGTATTCAATGTAAAAACATGAATTGGGTATAAAATAGTTTATACCTACTAATGGGTCAGTCAATATTTATTAAAGGGGCAGCTAGGTGGCACAATGGATAGAGCACCGGCTCTGGAGTCAGGAGGACCTGAGTTCAAATCCGGCCCCAGACACTTGATACTTACTAGCTCTATGGCCCTGGGCAAGTCACTTAACACCATTGCCTAGCCAAAAAAAAGAAAATATTTATTACGCATCTACTATGTGCCACGCACTGTGCTTAGCACAGGGGACATAAGGAAAGGTAAAAGAATTCTTGCTGTCCGGGAGCTCCCAGTCTAATGGGGAGGCTGGCCGAGGAGAGCCTTGTTCTTACAAGAGTGAGTACTCTGACTACTGCAATCTCCCTCAAGACAACCGGTGTCTGTTTCTGGACATGCCTAATTGTGGGCTTGGGTCTCAGCTTCAGAGCATGCGCAGGTGTCCTGCAGCTGTTTCCTGTCTGCTTGCTGAGCTCCACGAGCCTGGCAGGGGTTATTTTTTGAGGTACATACACCCCAAAAAGACACAAAACGGGAGTGGTCCCATCCCCAATACAGGCCTGCCAAAGAGCCCAAGTGATCACTAATCAACTTGGTGGAGGAAACAAGGGTACCCCCTCAGTGACCATCTGAAGCTCAGGTTTTTCCACGTAAATTTCACTATTCTCTTATTCAGTTTCATGAATAATAATATGAATAATCAGAATTAAATCCTGATTGGTACTGCATTAAATGGGCAAATTTCAGCAAGATGATGCCAGAAAATAAAATTATACTTATTTTCTATTTCACATACATGCAAAAATACTAAATATTAGTTTATAAAATATGGGAACAAAATTATTCCTCATCAATCACCAAGCATTATTTAATCACCTATTGATTAGCACTAAGTGCCAGACATTGTGCTAAGTGTTGGGGATAAAAAGAAAAAACAGTTCAAACAGTCCATGTTCTCTGGGAGTTTACATTCTAACAACTAAGCAGGGTTTATTGCTGGAATGAAATCTTAGTATACATAAGCAATATTAACAACATATTACAGCACATAAACAAAAAACTCACACTATATGAAAATATCCAAGAAAAGTCTGACAAAACATAGTATTCCTTGATGATTTAAAATGAATAGAAAAAAAAAAAACCAGAACAGAAACATTTTTTAAACACAAGACATACTTTTTTTTTGTAGTAGAACCTTTGCTCAACTTGATAAATTTCCCCACTCATCCATTTGATGAGATTTCAGAGGACCTCTCATGGAACTAGACATATGCCCTACAGCATTTCTGGAAGGATGCAAAAAACTGATTGGTCTCCAGTGACCGGGGCTGACTTATACATGATTGTCAACTAAGAAGCAGGGTATATGGACACATCAGAAGAACTTTTCCCTTCTATGGTCTAAAAGACTGAGCTCTGGAAACTGCTCTGTCCTTTTTGTACCCTTCTCCCTTTTTTTTTTTTTTTTTTTTAAGCAATTGGGGTTAAGTGACTTGCCCACAGTCAGACAGCTAGTAAGTGTCAAGTGTTTGGTCTGAGGCTGGATTTGAACTCAGGTCCTCCTGACTTCAGGGCCAGTGCTCTATCCACTGTGCCACCTAGCTGCCCCCCTTCTCCCTTTTTTCAAAGCTCTCTATTGGATTTTCAGCAAGGGGCCGTGTAGGAAAGAGAATTTCTCTCGTCTCAGCAGCAATGACAGCTCGCAACAAATACTTGCTAAGGAAAAAACAGAGTGGATTTTTTTTTCCGCCTTCAATCTCTCACATACTAATAGCCTTAAAAAAAAAAGATGACTATCCTGTTCCAGCTTTTTATCCTCAATTCACCTACATTATACAATAACCCACCCTACTCAGAAGACCTCATTTTCTACTCTGCTTGCACCAACATATTATTTTTTAACAATCCTCTTCAATTGACCCTTCCAGTACTTCAAGATGGAAGAAAGCCATCTCCATATAGTGGCTCCATTTTCTCCAGTGCTTGCAATCTGGCTCTGTGACCCCACCACTTGGAGAAGAGACAGGGAGAGCAATGAGAAAGCTACTACAGTAGTCCAAGTGAGAGGTGATATGGGTCTGAACAGGCATAAACTGAGGGGAAAGAGGACGACAGATTCAAAAGATGCTGGGGAAGTGGAAACGACAAGTCAGTAGCTGATAGGTTAAGAGGATGAAGAAGGAAAGACAACTCCAAGGTTACAAACCTGGGTGACTAGAAGAATGCTTTTGGTACCCTCAACAGAAATAGGAAGAGCTGTTAGTATTTAGCTCCTAGGAAGTTACTCTACACAGAGAAGGGTTAAGCAACTTGCCAAAAGCAACAAAGGTAGTAAACGGCAGACAGGCCACCAGTCACACTATTCCATGCTGATTGACCTGATGTGAATGTACATTTTTATTTAACAAACTACAAAGAATGGGGTCTATAGTTTCATGTATAATACTTTATTCTTGCTTGTGCAACTGTATTTTTTGTTGTTGGATATTAAGTTTATTATTTTTAAAAGGAAAAATTAAAGAGAAGTGTGGGGAGAATAGAATCCCTTGCAACTAAATAAATATAACACTTCAGTGATTTGACTAAACATTTTTTGTAACCTTGGTAACACAAATGCCTTTTCAGATACTGCTTGAGCATACTGATTGCAGAATGTGTTACTGACATTATTACAGGAAGGGTGATAAAGGGAGGTATGCCTCTTATCTCTTAAAGAACCAATAATGTAGTTGGTGGTGAAGTCTCCCATCTTAACTATACAGTACTTGGACAGCTGGCAGTTTTTCATGAAGTCTTCCCCAGAATATTCCTTCCCCATCATTAATTAATCTCCAACATAAAGTCTCTGATGCCTGATGAGGCATGGACTACATCAAAGGTTTTATCAGTTGAGACTTTTATAAGGTTTTTCTTCCATATGAATTCTCTGGTGCTTGAAGGGTTCAGCTAGTGCTGAAGGCGTTCTCACAGCCATTACACTTATAGGTTTCCCATTATTATGAATTTTCTGGTATTTAGTAAGATACCCCCTGTGGCTAAGATGACCAAAGCTGAAGGAGTTTCCAAATTCATTATATTCATCAGCTTATTTTCCATTGTGAATTCTCTGATGACAAATAAGGGATGTCCTATGACTGAAGGTTTTTGAACACACACTGCACTGAAAGGGTTTCTCTCTAGTATGAATTCTCTGGTGTAGAACAAGGCTTCCTCTCTGGCTGAAGGACTTCCCACATTTATTACATGCAAAGGGCTTCTCCCCAGTATGAACTCTCTGATGTCTAAGAAGGTGTCCTGTCTGACTGAAGGTTTTCCCACATTCGTTACATTTGCAAGGTTTCTCTCCAGTATGAATTCTCTGATGCTTATTAAGTTGCCCTCTCTGGCTGAACGCTTTCCCACATTCATTACACTCAAAGGGTTTCTCACCAGTATGAACTCTATGATGATAAATAAGGGATGTACTATGACTGAAGGCTTTTCCACATTCATTGCATTCAAAGGGTTTCTCTCCAGTATGAATTCTCTGATGATAAAAAAGGTTCCCTCGCTGGCTGAAGGCTTTCCCACATTCATTACACTGAAAGGGTTTCTCTCCAGTATGAACTCTCTGATGATGGAGAAGGGATCTCCTATGGCTGAAAGTTTTCCCACATTCATTACATTCAAAAGGTTTCTCTCCAGTATGAATTCTCTGATGATAAATAAGAGATGCATTATGGCTGAAAGCTTTCCCACAATCATTACATTCAAAGGGTTTCTCTCCAGTATGAATTCTTAGATGAGAATACAGGGAAGTTCGATGGCTGAAGGTTTTGCCACACTCATTACATTCAAGGGGTTTCTCTCCAGCATGAATTCTCTGATGCTCAGTAAGACTTCCCTTATGGATGAAGGCTTTCCCACATTCATTACATTCAAAAGGTTTCTCTCCAGTATGGATTCTTTTATGTTCATTAAGGTGCCCTCTCTGGTTGAAGGCTTTCCCACATTCATTACACTCAAAGGGTTTCTCCCCTGTATGAATTCTCTGATGATCGATAAGGGACACTCTATGATTGAAGGCTTTCCCACATTCACTGCATTCAAAGTGTTTCTCTCCAGAATGAATTCTCTGATGTTCAGTAAGGTGGCCCCTTTGACTGAAGGCTTTCCCACATTCATTACACTCAAAGGGTTTTTCTCCAGTATGAGTTCTCTTATGTTCATTGAGATTTCCCCTCTGGCTGAAGGCTTTCCCACAGTCATTACACTTAAAAGGTTTTTCTCCAGTGTGAACTCTTTGATGCAGAGTAAGGCTAGAATTGCTGCTGAAGGCTTTGCCACATTCATTACACTTGAAGGGTTTCTCTCCAGTATGGATTTTTTTGTGTTCATTAAGGTTTCCCCTCTGGCTGAAGGCTTTGCCACATTCATTACACTCAAAGGGTTTCTCACCTGTATGAATTCTTAGATGCAGAATGAGGCTTGAGTTGTTGTTAAAGGCCTTGCCACAATAATGACATTTAAAGGGTTTCTCTCCAACATTAGCCCTCTTATTTTGAGACAGGCTTCCACTATGGCTTAACTCTTTCTCACATTCATTTTTCTTTCCAGGATGAATCCTCTGGTTTTCAGCAAGAAGTGAGCTCTTACTGAAGGCTTTCTCACATCCATTACATTTACATGGTTTGTCTCCTGAATGCATCATGTGAAACTGAACAAAGTCTGAGTGAGAACTGAAAGGCTTCTTACAATTATACTTAGCAAGGGTCTTCCCTTTGGAGACTTTACTATGTTTAACTAGGTCTGAAATTGGTTTGATGCTATTTCCTTGTGTGCCATAATTCTGGTGACTTTTTCCTAAAGGAACATTCTGTTTTGGAACAAAGACTGATCCTAAACTAAACTTTCTTCCATGTGTATTACTTTCATGGAGATGCCTCTGTTTAGCAAGATTTTGGGGAGTGATTGTCACTTGTCTGGATTGTTTCCTCTGGCTGTTCTTCTTCCTCTCTAATTTGACATCGTGTTCCCATGTCTTTTCCATCTTGGGATCATCCTTTTTGAGTCTTCCCTGGGATGGTACTCTTATATAAATACTCTGCTTGGGAGTAGAATCCATGGTTTCAGACTTAGTCTCTTGAATAACAGAATCTGAAAGAAGCAAACAAAAAGCATGAATACAAACCATTCTCAGTGCTCACAGAAAGGAAACTGTCCTACGCTAACTTCTAGGTTCTCTTTCCTCCATAGGGAGGATGATGAACAATATGAAAATGAGAACGCTCATTTATGTGGAGCTTTTTCCTTTTCCCTTCCTCATCTCACACCCTAGGGCCATCATCCCTTACTATTAACCCCCCCTTCTCCATCGCACCTTACTACATTCTGACCAAAAAATGGTCCTTCTGCTTAGCAAAGGCTGATAAACCCCTCTCCATATACCTTTCATCTCATTCCCCACCTTTTCCAACAAACTGCCTACATTATCATCCCCATTCTTGTTCATCTTTCCTTGTCTAGTGGTTCCTTTCTTGCTGCTCACACACACACACGTACGTACGCATATCCATCATTCTTTGAAAAAACTAAAGAACTTCAATTTATCCTACCACCACTGACAGATATCACCCTTTAACTCTCCTCTCCTTCTCTGTTCAATTCCTTGAGAAAGTACCTCTACCTCCTCTCCTCTCTTCTAAAGTCTCTGAATTCTGGCTTCCAACCTCATCACTCAACTGAGACTACCCTCTCCAAAATCATCAAAAATGTCTTAATTACCAAACCTAATGACCATTTTTCAATAACTATCTTTTTCTGACCCTTCTTCAGCATTCGAAACTGTTGACTCTCTCCTCTCTGGATTTTTATCAAGTTGCTATCTCATGTTTCTCCTTCCATCTGAGTCTCTTTTTCTCAATTATTATAAATGTGTAGGTATGCCTCACCCTCCTATCCTAGGTCCCCTTCTCTCTTCTCTTCACAACCTCTCATTTGGTCACCTCATCAGTTATTCAGTTCTCCTCTCCATGGAGATGACTCCCAAATTCATTCATCTCTAGTTTCTCTTCTTAGCTCCAGTCCCACATCACCAAATAAGGAAACAAGGACTTACCCAGTGATTTCTACAAGCCAACACTTGGGCACATATCAACGATGCTCTAAGTGCCTCAGATCCAATCATGCTCAAAGCAGAACTCACTTCCGCCCCTCTTCCAAACATCCCAATCTCAAAGGAGAGCACCGCCATCCTTCTGGTCACTCAGGCTCATGTCTGATTCCTTGCTCTCACTCCTATGTATTTAATCACTTGCAAGTGCACTAGATTTTGACTCAATACATATATTTCATCCATCCCTTCCTCTCTACTCACACCGTCACCATCCACTTAAACTATTGTGAAAGCCTTCCAATTATCCTGCCTCAAATCTCTCCCCTTTTTAATTCATCCTACACATAACTGCTAAGGTGATATTCTGAAAGCACAGATCTAACCATGTTAGTTCCCTATAGAATAAACTGCAGTGGCTCCCAATTACCAAAGGATCAAATATCAACTCTCTAGTTCTCCTTTAAAGCCCATCACAACCTAGATCCCACTTACCTTCCAAAACTTATTTATTACTCTCCTTCACATACTGTAAACCCCAACAAAAGTGGCCTTCTGATTAGTTCCAGACATGCTATTTCAGCTCCTATCTCTTTGCCTTTGCACAGGCTGGCCTGATACCTGAAATGTGACTCCTCCCAGGTTCCTGCAAAGCTTAGCTCAAAGTCACCTCCTCAAGGAGACCTTCCCCAATCCCTTCAGCGGCTAGTGCCTCCCTCCCAAAATGACTGTGTATTTATTTTCTACATTCTTCTACGTGCACATTGTTTCCAAGAAGTAGGGAATGTTTCACTTTTGTCTTTGTATCATCCCTGGCTGGCACAAAGTAGGCTCTAAAATGCTCACTGACTCACTGATTGACTGAGCCAGTCCTGTATCAAGAGCAAAGAAAAACAGATAAATAAATGACATAATGAACTGGTCCCCAGACAGGACTCGAGCTCATTGATTTAAGAGCTACATATAGACAGAGACACACGCACAATATACGAGTCTTGAACGTGTTTGTAAGGAAAAGGGAGAAGCCAATGGACTGACAGAGACTAAAGAGAGAGAGGAAGAAAGAAGGGGAATGACTCACAGAAATAAACCTTGCAGGAGATGGGGTCAATGGTGCAAGTACAGAGGTCAGACCTGGGAAAGAGAAAGAACACCTCATCTTCTGAGATTGTAAGAAATGACTAAAGACTCACCAAAGTTGTGCCAGCAAATGGCCCCAACCCTCTCAGTAATATAAGAAGCAAGAATGTTTGCTGAATGAGAGGCTACGGTGTAGAGGCCTGAGAAATGAAGTCTTCTCTAAGGAGGCAGCTCACTCTCACATGGAAGAGGGGTAACTGGTGGTTGCTGAGTCTCACGTAGGCTTGATTTAAGAAAGTTTCCTTAAAATTGCAATGCAAAATTGGAAGAGTTGGCCCTCATTAATTGTGTCCAAGGAAACAAACACGTCATAGAGATGATTCCCATTCAGATGCTTATTGGTTTAGATGCCTCTCGGGTTCCTTTCCTCCTAGAACCCGATGAGTAAGTGGTCAAAGGAAAGCAATAATCCAATACAAAAACAAAATGTCCACACTGACCCTAAAACAACCAATCAAAATCTAACAATCAGAGGCATTAATTTACCCTCCTTTGTGGCCTAGGATACTGATGGAACTGGGGAGACATGACAGGAGTCACTGCACCCCAGCCCCCTCACTATTCACACAATAGTCAGAACTGCTGTGAGCAAGTCAGTTGTGATGTGGGCCTGAAGCTGTTTTTGTTTACTTTGCCTCTGGGAAAGGAAAATATGAAAGTGGGTTTTTAAAAAGACTTTGGCAGGGGAGGTCCTGAGACCCCCAGAGTATATCACTACTTTGACTTTTTCGACTTAAGATAACTTTTACCTGTTCTGACCTTCCCAAACTCCTTTCTAATGGGCAAACAGGAAAAAAACAATTCAATGGAGGGTAGGACTGTGGAGAAACAGACACACAACTACACATATGGTGGAACTATGACTTGATGAAGACTTTTTGGAAAGTATTTTGGCAATATACCACAAGATCTACCAAATTTATCAAAAGGAAAAAAACCCACCGAACTATACTGGGCATTCATAGTAGCATTTTTTTTTTCAAGAGGAAAAATACTGGAAACACCCATGTGCCTAATAGGAAACAACCAAACTAACAGTATTATGGTGATAAAAAGTATGGTAAGTCTAAAAAGAAGTAACAAGAAGAACACAAAAACATATGGAAAGAGTTGTAGGAAATGATTCGATACAAAGTGAAAAAAACACCATCAGAACAATAACACACACACTGACAACTGGAAAAATAAACAATCTGGAGAAATCACAAAAAACTCGGCAAATGGACACAGAAGTAAATGGACATTTTCATTTCTATCCTATTAAATACACAGCCTTGTGGTCCACGACCCAGGTTTGGTCACAGAGCCACGGCAACTGAGAAGGGAATCTCTGCACACAGGAATGGTGTTTGCTGGCGAAGAAGGCCCTGGGGAGAATGCTAGTATCCCAAGAAAAAGAGGCATCTCAGAAGCTTGCAGCAGCGTGGCCCAGAACCCAACATGTAGAGCAGGAGCTCATTTTCAGCCTCTAACTCAGCCTGCAGACAAATAACTAGGGCAGGAATCCCAAACCAAAGGAAGCCTCGCAATTCCATCACTCTGAACCAGCAACGTTTCCCAGCCGGCTGATGCAGCACCCCATTCCTCAGGCCTAAACCCAAGTCAGAGACATGCAGAGCTCAGACCAGGGGGACAAAAATCAAGACTTCTTCCTGGATCAGACCACCCCAGGAGCACCAAAAGCTCAAAGACCCCCAGCCTGAGCTGTCCCTGAGATCCTGGAAGAGAACAGCAACAGGACCAGCCTAGACTTTCCCTCGAGATGTGCCACAGAACCTACCCCTAACTAAGATCAAGTGTGATGTCAGAGAGAAGGCTGGAAGAGTGGGCAAACAAAAAAAAAAAAAAAAGAAAGAAACTCCATACTGAGCAATTACAGGGGTAAGTACGCTCAGGACAAAAACCCAGAAGAAACACCTACAAGCAAAGGCTCAGAGAAAAACAAAGCCTGTGGAGAAACTCAACTAGAATGCCTGGAAGAGACGAAGCAAGAATTTAAAGACGCTAACGATTCCAAAAGACTGATGACGTGAGGCATCTCACAGCAACAGCTTTCCTGGAAAACAGATCAAGTGGAAAAAACTGAAGAATCATTGGCTTACGTGAACACCATGACCGAAAAGAGCCTAGACATCTTACTTCAAGAAATCTTTTTTTTTAAATTAATTTATTTTTAGTTTTCAACACTCGTTTCCACAAGATTTTGAGTTCCAAATTTTCTCCCCATCTCTCCTCTCCCCCCACCCCAAGACAGCATGCATTCTGAATACTCCTTCCCCTAATCTGCCCTCCCTTCTATTACTTTCCCCTTCTATTTTCCTGTAGGGCAGGATAGATTTCTATACCCCATCACCTGTATATCTTATGTCCCAGTTGCATGTAAAAATAATTTTTATCATTTGTTTGTATAGTTTGGGGTTCCAAATTCTCTTCCTTCCTCCCTCCCCACCCACCCTCATTGAGATGGCAAGCAAGTTGATACAGGTTATACATCTGTAGCCATGTAAAACACTTCCATAGTAGTCATGTTGTGAAAAATTGTATTTCCCTTCATCCTATCCCGCCCCACCCTTTTATTCTACTCTCTTTTCACCCTGTCCCTCCTCAGAAGTGTTTGCTTCTGATTACCCCCTCCCCCAATCTGTCCTCCATTCTATTCCCTTCCCCCCTATTTTCCTGTAGGGTAAGATAGGTTTCCATACCCAATTGAATATGTATGTTATTCCCTCCTTAAGCCAAATCCAATGAGAATAAGATTCATTCATTTCCTCTCACCTTCCCCCACTTCCCCTCCACTGTAAAAGCTTTTCTTGCCTCTTTCATGTGAGATAATTTACCCCATTCTACCTCTCCCTTTCTCCTTCTCCCAGTATAATCCTCTCTCACCCCTTAATTCTATTGTTTAGATATCACCGTTTCATCTTCAACTCATCCTGTGCCATCTATCTATCTATCTATCTATCTATCTATCTATCTATCTATCTATCTATCTATC